ACAACGTGCCTCGGACCGCACGTCAATGTCCGGATGCTGTCTTCTCCATGCTGCAACATACGCTTCGGGACACGGTAGAACTGACACGTGTAGGAGCGGAACGGGATAGCGCTGGTGTGGGAAATGACAATGGAACGAACATGACCTTGGCGCCAGCTTTCAATCTAGTAGACACAGACTTGCACCTCATTGGTATGTGTTTCAACGGAAATCTCCCACCCGCTCTGCCCTACATATCTCCCAAACTCGTTGCCCAAACCAATAAACTTCAGGCGGCGAGCACGGGTACTTCGGGGGCCTCGTAGGGCCCTCATGGGACCCTCATGGGGCTCTTTTGGGGCTCTCTTGGCGTTCTCGTGGAGCCCTCTTGGGAGCTATTGAGCGCCTCTGGGGGCCGTCCTGGATTCCATCGATTACAGGAGGGGGGGTCATTGATTTGCCCCCCCCTACGGGGTCGTCAAAACCGCATTTTGGGGCCCTCTTGGTGCGCTCTTGGACGCTACTGGAGTTTTCTTGGGCCATCGTGGGGCCATGTTGAAACCTCGAGAGCGCATCGGAAGCGAAAGCGCGAAAAAGGCATGATCAATGATGTTCCATCGGTTTTTGAAAGATGTTGGCTCCCCGGGGGGGGGCGAAGGAACTCTGACAGCACCTGGAATCGTTTTGTTGCCTTCTTGGGCCTTTAGGAAACATGCTGTTCGCGTTTTTTGGGGACATGTTGGATTATCTTGAATGATATTTGGGGCTGTGTTGGGCTCTCTGAAGCCATCTTGGAGCCATCTTGACAGGAAAGAGGCCCTCTGCCACCTCGCGCCCTCCCCCCGTCCAGGTCCAGGGAAAAAGGACGTAAATGGGGGAGGGGTCAAGACTCTCTCCCCGCCCGCAAGCCGTTTCGCTCACTCCCACCCGCCCTCCCAACACATACGTGGCACCCGAGCCTGGCCCGAACCGCGACATATTCAGCAGTCGTCTTTGGATGGGCAGCTACTGGGGGCGAATCCGCCGCCGCCGCCGCCGCCGCCACCTCCGCCGCCGCCGCCGCCGCCGCCCGCCGCCACTGTCCGCCGCCACCGCCGCGCCGCCCGCCGCCGCCGACGCAACCGCCGCCGCAATCGCCCCCGCTGCCGGATCGCAGCCGCCGCAACCGCGGTCGCCGCAGACGCTGCCGCCACTGCCGCCACCGCCGCCGCCGCCACCGCCGCCGCCGCCGCCGCCGCCACCGCCGCAACCGCCGCAGCCGCTGCCCCCGCCGCAGCCGCCGTAACCGTCGCCGCCGCCGCCAAGTGTACTTTGTACTGTTTTTTGACAGGGATGGTGGGGGGAGGCCGCATCGGGTTCGCTGCGCGTGCTCTGAATTTGGAGACGGAGTGTGTGTTCGCATTGCTTTTTTACAACGGATGGTAGGGGGTGCCCTCGTTGTCCCTGGTTAGCTTTTAATCGTCTGGGGGAGGGGGTGTATACTAATAGGGAACAGTGATCAATACTCCCTCCCCGCCCGCAAGCCGTCTCGCTCACTCCCACCCGCCCTCCCAACACATACGTAGCACCCGAGCCTGGCCCGAGCCGCAGCATATTCAGCAGTCGTCTTTGGATGGGCAGCTACTGGGGGCGAATTCGCCGCCGCCGCCGCCGCCACCTCCGCCGCCGCCGCCGCCCGCCGCCGCCGCCGCCGCGCCGCCCGCCGCCGCCGCCGCCGCCGCGCAACCCGTCGCGCCGCCGCCGCCGCCACCGCCGCCGCCCCCGCTGCCGAATCGCCGCCGCCGCAGCCGCTGCCGCCGCAGCCGCTGCCGCCACCGCCCGCCGCCGCCGCCGCCGCCGTCGCCGCCGCCCCGCCGCCGCCGCCGCCACCGCCGCCGCCGCCGCCACCGCCGCGGCAACCGCTGCCCCCGCCGCAGCCGCCGCGGCCGCCGCCGCCGCCGCCAAGTGTACTCTGTATTGTTTTTTGACAGGGATGGTGGGGGGAGGCCGCATCGGGTTCGCTGCGCATGCTCCGAGTTTGGAGGCAGAGTGTGGTTTCTATAGTTTTTTTACAAGGGATGGTGGGTGCGTGCCCGCATTGTTCCTGATTGGCTCCCAGTCGCCTAGTGGAGGAGGTGTATATTATGAGGGAACAGTGATGAACCCCTCCCCGAAGGGGAAGAGGGGGCTTTGGAAGAGGGAAGAAAGATATCGTTAAACCACCTGCGCCCAAAGGGCTGGTGGGATTAGGGGAACGAGAGATGACATAAACATAATAACTCGGAGGTCCGCGCGGATTTCTCGGATCGGCGCTGGACCCTTCTCGCTGGCGCGCGGAGCGCGCCAGGGGCGGCGCCGGAGGCGACGCCAGGGGAGTCCACGAAATCCGCGCAGACCTCCTCCGAGTTCTCATGTTTATGTCATTCTTCTTTTCCCGAGTAAAGTCGGAGGAAGAAAAGGTTCATCTCGTCCGCGAAAACGGGACGGTACGACAACGGATCGGGAAGGGAGTGCATGATGCATTGTGCGATCGGTTCGAGCGACAGCGTGAGAATATGCTACCGTTCCTCCGGAAGAAATCCAAACAGCCAGATCTAGGGAACCGAATAGTGACATAAAAATAAAACTTCTGAGGTCCGCGCGGATGTCTCAGATCGGCGCTGGACCCCCCTCCCTGGCGCGCGGAGCGTGCCAGGGGCGGCGCCGGAGGCGCCGCGAGGGGGGTACAGCGAGGATCCGAGAAGTCCGTGCGGACCTCCGAGTTTTTGTGTTTATGCCATTCTTCGTTCCCCTAAGATCATCGTGCAGAGCCTTCTCAAGGCCCCGATGATGTACGAGGGGACTTGCATGGCCTCGAAGACCCACAATATAAAACTCATGGGCGAGATGCGGACAGGCGGCGCAGCGCCGTGCCGGCACACTTCTTTTCCAATGCAGCGCTCCGCATAGCGAGCTGGGCATCACTGGCCATCGCTCGGACGTCCACTCCCTGTATTTGTTCGGTTTCGTGCATGGTTTTTTCACCAAATGATCAAGGATGCTCCTCGCCGAAGGGAAAAATGCACACGTCCGAGCGATGCCAAGATCAGCCGAGCTGGTCTCCCTGATCTTGCGGCCCCTCGTGGAGCCCCGCTGCTCCTGCAAGACCGACGGGGAGGCCTGGACAGCCAGCCGAGACCCTGGTGCAGGCGATCTGATCTTGTTGGGCGCGTCGCTGAGGGAGAGAGGGCGGGTCTCGTCGGGGGACTTCGTCTGGGCTTCGGCGGAGGGGTCACCATTCTTGGAGAGGCAGACCTTGGCACAGTGGTGGAACACCAGGGGGCCCGTCCGTGGCTCAGGAGTTCCCTATGGATGTCCCAAGTAAGATTAGCCCCGATAGTACGCGATACCGTCGGGAACGAGGGTGCAGTCACGGAACTCATTTATCTGTAGTGAAGGAGTTGAAGGGAGGAGGAGGCGGAGGAGGAGGAGGAGGCGGAGGAGGGGAGGAGGGAGGAGGAGGAGGAGGAAAGAAAAAGAGAGCCACGACCAGACCTTCTGGGGCCGTGGGGCCTATTGGGTGCTGTCTGCTTTTGCTTGGGGGGGCTCTGCGGGGCCCTTTTGCGCTGGCTGGGGCGTTTCTGACGGGCCTCTGGTTGGCTCTGTGGGGGCCCTCATGGGTTGAGTGTGTCCCGCGGGTCAGCGTTGGGGGGGGGGGGGGGGGCACTACGTCAAGACGTTTGGCGGCGACACTACACTCGGCACCTTCGTACGTCAAGACGTTTGGCGGCGACACTTCGTTCGTCAAGACTTTCGGGGGCGATACTTCCTAACGACGCATTGTTTTTTCATTTCCTTTAGGGTCGCGATTTTTTGAGGCAGCTTATACTTTACGAAACACTTCGGGGCATAGCACTAGCATAACCGAACGCGCAACCTAACAGCGGCACACATTATGATCCGTGGCCCTCCCGCAACGCCCATAACTCGGGCCAGCCGTGACCATCAATCGCCCACGGGTGGAACTACTGCAGAGCGTGTATGTTGGGTAGGAAGAGGAGGAGGGCGAGGGACGAGGAGTAGGAGAAGGGCGTAGGAGGAGCGGGAGGAGGGTGCGGGAGGAGTGGAGAAGTCGGAGTAGGATTAAGAGGAGCAGGAGTTGGGCGAAGGAGGAGTGGAGGAGCATGGAGAAGGCGTGGGAATAGGAGGAGGAGGTGTCGGAGGAGGGCGGAGGGGGAGTGGAGGAGCAGGAGGAGGGCGAAGGAGTAGTGAAGGAGGGAGGGGACGGAAGTAGGAGGAGGACGGGGGGAAGGCTGGAGGGGGGAGAAAAAACAACCCAGGCGAACAGCAAAAGCTGGAGGAGGTGACGACGACGACGTCGACGACGACGACGATGATGTCACGCCTCTCGCCGCCTGACGTCCTGGGCTCTCCCGCCGCCTTGCCCGCGCCCACTTCACAGCAGTGGGCGATGGCGGCACGAGCCACGAGGGGTCCCCTCGCAGGCTTGTTTCTTGAAACAAAAAGAATGCCTCGCTCGCGCGGGCCACCTCACGGGGACCCCTATCATGATTATCATCCTCCCTCTCATCATCCTCGTCGCCCTCCTATTCGTCATCATCGTAATCAGCATAATCAGCATCATCAGCATCATCGTCGTCATCACCACCATCATCATCAACATCATCATCATCATCAGCATCATCATCATCATCATCACCATCACCATCATCATCATCAGCATCATCATCAGCACCATTACCATCGTCATCGTCATTGTCATCGTTATCATCATCTTCGCCACCGTCATCATCATCATCATCACCCTCATCGGCATCATCATCACCACCGTCACCATCATCGTGGTCGTTACCATCAGCATAGTCGCCATCATCATCAGCATCATCGTGGTCGTTACCATCATCAGGTTGATGATGTATCCTCCTCATCCTCCTCCTCCTCATTCTCCTCATCCTCCTCCCTCTCATCCTCCTCATTGTCTGACCCCCCATATCCCCACCGCGAGGTGGCCCAGGGAGGCTCCGAAAAGTGAGCCTGCCTCCCTAGCGCTTCGCGCGCTTCAGGCCAGCTGGCCTGGAGCTTGGCGCGCCACGCTTGGCGCCCGCGGCTGAGCTCGACGCCCCGCCGCTGTCGTGCTGCTCCTGCTTGGTCTTGGTCGCCGTGCCCTGGCTCGGCGGCCCCGTGCCCTTTGGCTGGGGCGTGTAGCACTGGCTGCCGCTGGCCGCGCGCGCCGCCCCTCCACAGCAGCCGCCGGAGCCATCGGCGGCAGGCGGAGCCTCGGCGCCGACCGCGGCTGGCGCGCCACGATCCTCTGCCGAGATCGCCTCGAACTCCGCCCAGAAGCACGTGGGCACGTCCTTCGCCTTGTCCGTCTTGTAGCGCTCCAGGAACGCCGCGGCCCTCGCAGGGCCCGTCGGGGATGTCTTGAGATCCTCCAGCATCTGCACGCCGCGGGTCATCGCCACGACCTGGTTCGCCTTCGCCTGCACGGCTAACAAAAGTGTGCGCTGCACCATCTGGGGCGCCATCAGAGCATCGCCGTCGTCGTCGTCGTCGTCGTCGTCGTCGTCGTCGTCCCCATCCCCCTCTCCACTTCTATGTAGGAGGGGGGGGGTGGGTGGGTACTGAAACTGCTCCGATGGCGCCCCAGGTGGCGCAGCGCGCCCCTTTGCAAGGCCGATGGCCATGCACGTGACGCCCGTCGCGACGGCCTCCGCCGTCAGGTCGTGCTCGGCCACGGTAGGCACCAACTCCAGGAGCTTGCCCGCCCTGACCAGGTGTGACATGCTCTTATGCACCTTGTTGTAGGCGTTCACCACGCCCTGCTGGTTGTTGAACAGCTTGAGGCCGAGCTTCTCGTTGAAGCGTCCGCTCGAGTCGACCGCCGCGTCGAGCTCTGGAAGTATCCCTTTGCACGCCTTGGAGTGGCACTGGAGGACCGCCTCCAAGTTCTTGAACAGCTGGTTGCGGCAGCTGCACGAGTAGACTGCGAGCGCGCTGATCCACTGCCTCGCGCTCTGAGGGGTGACGGTCAGCGCCCAGCCCTGCTTCTCGAACTCGTGGACCTCCTTCGAGCTCAGGAGCTTGTCCATGCGTGCCAGCGCCCTCCCCATCATGCGCTGCGCATGGGAACTTGTCGAACATGTCCTCCTCGCTCGCCTTCTGGTCCATGTAGAGGTTCGAGTGCAGCTGCGCTGCGATCCCCACCAAGTCCTTCACCTGCGTCACGATGTCCAAGTACAGCTTCGCAAGATCCACTGGCATGCGAGCCTCGAGGCCGTCTTTAGAGGCGCCTGGGATCAAGATGTCGCTAATGGAACCTGCCTGCATGAATGACACCAAGTCTGAGAACGCCTTGTTGTACGGAACCGCCTCTACAGCTGCATCGTCGATCTGAGAGCCGTCAGCCCATGCAACGCCTGGCAGCAGGACGGCAGTGATGTCGGCGTCAGTGACCAGCCTGGCGAAAGCCTGCTCCTGGGCGATCTCTCGCACGACGCTCTCGCTGACCTCGCCGAGTCCGAAGCTGAGCTTGGGGGCGATCTCCGCGAGCAGGCCATTGACAAAGTTGTCGGCGGCGTCGGTGTAGATGGGCGTGCCTGGGCGAGAAGCCCCCCGACGAGCGCGCCCCTCGCCGTCGCCGACCCCCTCGACACCTTCAAAGCCACGAAGTAAACCATCACACAATGTAAAGAAGAGCTGGGTGGAAACCTTCAAAACTCTTCAAAATAGCTGGGTGGAAACCTTCAAACACACATCATGGTTAAATGCTGGGGGGTCGGCGCGGCGAGGATGCGCGTCAGCGAAGAGCTGCCCTGCGAGCCTACGTCGTTGACGAACTGCCTGAAGACATCGCTCACCTTCAGGACGCGGCACTGATCGGTGGCCAAGCTGTCGGCATCGAACTCGAAGATCTCCCGAATCATCCAGTTCAACATGCCCGCAAACTTGACCACAGTGTTCGTGAACTCCTCCTGCTGCTCAGCGATCTGCATGACATGTGCCTTCATATCCGTAAGTTTCACGCAGTACTCCATGAATGTGAGCATCTCCTTCAGCAGGTCAGTGGCATGCCCGATGGAGCTCTGAAGCTTGACTGGGTTAGAGACGAACTCCTCAGGCAACTTATCGTAGATAGCCTCGCCCACGCGACCGAGTAAGGCCACCTTGGCGTTCTCCCACCTGGTGTTGATGTCCGTCAGGGTGTTGCCGAAGCTGGTGATGCTTTCCTTGACGAGGACCGCCGTCGCGGAGAAGTGCTCGATGGTCTTATCGTGTGATGCCTTCACCTCCGTGATGGCCTCATCGTGCTCGGACTTCTGATCCATATCCATCAAAGGGTGCCCATCATCACCCCCCTGAATATCGTACCCGTTAGTGCGCGCTAGTAGCGCGTCGCTGAGCGTCGGCAATATAGGCAGAACGAGCTCGCCCCATATGTCGATGAGCATGTGCCTGCCGATCCTGATGAGGTCCATTGAGTTCGACAGGTTGCTCGCCATGTAGTCGAGGTTCGAGTGCACCGACGCCGCGGACCACTTCTGCATGGCACCGTGCGCGCTCGCGAAGAAAGGGCACATGTTCTTGAAGAGGTCGTCGATGAAGCCGAAGCCATCCTCGACAGAGATGCGGCGCATCCTGGCGATCCACTGCGGCAAATCGTCAAAGCACTCCGCGAAGTGGCTCTCGAAACGCTTTGACGAGGCCTCGAACTTTCCCGTCGCCGCGTCGTCCTCGATGCTCTGAGCCACGTGCAGGCGGCTGGCCTCCATCATCGCCTTGCCCACTGGGCATGCCTGCAGCGTGCGCGCGAGCTCCGACGCAGGAGAGCTCGGCTGCCGAACCTGGTCGAGGATCACCCTCCTGGCGTGCCGCGCGTCGCTCGAGGAAGGCCTGGCGGACTCCGTGTGGTGAGCGCACTTCGCGATGACAGCGAAGCTCCTGAGCACCTTCCAATACCGAAAACCTGCAACACAACCACGCCATCATCGTCAGAAAACGTGTTCTTTACTGGCCTCTCCAACCCCCAAAAAACATCGTGACAGCCTCCCCAGGACCTGAACCAACCCCCAAATCGTGGCTATGGATGGGTCGCAATGCTTCGGTGTTGGCCGGCCTCTGAAAACGTGTCGTCCTCCAGGTCGGTCCGCATGTTCCTCTCCTTGGCGTCCCATTGCTTAACGATCACTTCGATCTCGACTACGAGGTCGTAGGCCTTCAACTCGTCCTTAATCCACCACTCGGGAAGCTCGGTGATCCATGTCCGAACAGCCTCCGACACCATGACGGAGAGGTGATAGATCGGGGTCTGGCCAATGGCGGCTCGCTGCTTGAGCTCCTCCCCAGCTCGCTTGATCGACTCCTTAGCGGTCTTCCCCCTTTTGGTGCCCGTGCCAGCGCTGGCCGTGGCCGTGCTCCCCTCCTCAGCCTTTACAGCGGGCGTAGCTTCTGGAGCTGGCTCCTCGGGCTTGGCCTTCGCGAGCTCGCTGATGTGGGTGAGAATGCTAACGTCGAATGTCTCGATCGCGTGCGCGACCGACTCCAGCTTGAGCGACATCCCCTGGAACGTGGCATAGGTCAAGATGATGTTGAGTTCCTCCGACATGGCGCTGTCCGAGTGGAGGAAGTAGGAGACCATGACGGAGAACGGCGCCAGCGTCTCCTGCAAGAGCATATCCACTTGGGCCTCAATCCATGATTTAATGGTTTTGTGCAGGGTAATCAACGCAGCAAGCCGATTGTCCACCTGAGTGTAAGCCAATTGCACCTCAAAAGAGCACTTCCCAATTATGCTGGGCTTGTGCTTCTGGTAGCGCCTGTGCAAGGCGTGGACCGCTCCAAGAATGAACTCTTCGAACCACTTGGGGTCACCTAGCGCGTCGACGTACGAGTTGATCGTCTTCTTGATCCTGCAGGCCGCCCCAAGGTGTGAACCTGTCGGCCATGGGGCCCCCATGGATAAGGGGCTGACCCCCTTCTCCCGAATCAGCTCCAAGTCTTTCTCCACGTCCCCGCCGTCGTCGACAGCGCCGACCTCTCCTTCGGGTGCTCCTCCTGCATCCGCATCTCCTTCGGCAGCTTCCCCATCGCCTTGGCCCTCTGGTGGGGCCTCGACTGCTTCGGCCGTGGCATTCTCAGGCTCTGCGTCTGGTAAAGGCGGTGGAACAACTGACGTGCGGCTCATCATTTTGGCAAGCTTGGTGTAGAGCTCCACGGCGGCCTGCCGATACAACCTCTGCCGTTCATCTCCCCCAGTGCCGTGATCCTCCTGCCCCATGCTGGCCTCGGTTCCTGCGGTCGCCTCCTCCTGACACTCATGACCCTCCGCCTTGACGCTGTCGGGATTCTCCAACTTCACGCGGCCGTCGAGCGTGTCGTGGTCACGCAAGAGACACGAGGGGGCCCGATGATATTGGTCTCTGCCGCCGAGACGCTTGTCGGTGGGCATCATCGGCTCCTCGCCGCACACCAAGGCCGTGTCTGCGTCGGGCAACTCAATGTCGACATCCATGTTGGCGTCGCCCTGCGGTGGCTGGCCGCTCGCCGCCTGGCCGAGGCGCGCGGACATGGCCGAGGCAGGCCCTGTGGAAATAGACAGCTTGAGGTGTGTTCGTTCGTCCTGGGAACGTCTGGCAATAACCCTGGGCCCCGACATCGTGGGGGAGAGACAATGACGATCAACGAATGCGTTTCTTTGGTGAGCACCGCCCGAAGATTTCAAGTAGGCACCAACGCATGTTTTCGTTGTTTTGTCTGATAGGGCCGCTGCATCACGGACGTAACCCCAATGCTTGAATGGTCCGGCCTTCTGGAGGCCTGATGGGTCTGGCTGTCCGGAGGCCGGAGACACCCGAACCGAACAACCAAAAACACACAACGCACATATTGTAAGCGGGCACTCAAGCATTCCTACTATTGAGTGACTACGCAGAGGGCGATAACCAACACCTATTCTTGTGAGGCAAGAAACCGAAACGACATACATACATATTGAGAGGGGGCAATGGTTTTTCATATGTCTTGTGGGTCCTATGTCCTATCTGCTTGTTGGGAGGGTCCTATCTACTTGTTCGGGGGGGGGGTCCTATCTAGTTGGGAGGGTCCTATCTACTTGTTGGGAGGGTTATATCTACTTGTCCGGAGGGCCCTATCTACTTTTGGGAGATCCTATCTACTTGTTGGGAGGGTCCTATATACACTTGGGAGGGTCCTATCTACTTGTTGGGAGATCATATTCACATTTTTTGGGGAGGGTCCTATCCACATGCTGGGACGATCCTATCTACTTGTTCGGAGGGTCCTATCTACTTTGCGGAGACTCTGATCTACTTCTCGGGGGATCCTATCTATTTGTCGGGAACGGCCTATGGACTTGCTGGGAGGGTCCTAGCTATATGTTCGGAGGGTCATTTCTACTTGTTTGGCTGGTGCTATCTTCTTGTTTGGAGGTGTCTCTCTACTTTGTGGAGGGTCCGACCTACTTTGGGGAGGGTCATATCTTTTCGTTGGGAGGGTCGTATGTACTTGTTGTGAGGGTCTTATCCACTTCTGGGAGGACCCTATATACTATGGAAAGGGTCTTATCTGCCTTCGGAAGGGTTTTATTTTTGAGCAGTTTACCTCCTTGCTTGGAGGGTCCTATCTACTTGATGTGAGGTTTATACATGCTTTTGGTCGGGTCCTATATGGTTTTTGGAGAGTCCGACCAACTTGTTTGGCTGACCTATATTTTTTGGGGAGGGTCCGATCTACTTGTTCGGAAAGTCATAACCACTTGTCAGGAGGGTCCTACCTATTTCTGGAACCGTCTTATCTACTTTTGGCAGGGTCCCAGCTACTGTTGACGGGGGGAGCTACCTACTTGCTGGGAGGGCCCTACTATTCGGAAGTGCCGATACACTTGTTAACAAGGCCCCACGCACTTTGTGAGAGGGTCCGGTCTACTTTTGTGAGGGTCCAACATACTTTGGGGAGTTCCGTATACACTTGATGGGATGGCCCTATCTAGTTGCTGGGAGGCCCCTATCTACTTTTAAGAAGTCCCGATATACTTGTTGGAAGGGTCCTACCTTCTTGTTGGGAGGCTCCCCGCCACTTATGCGTGTGTGTGTGTGGGGGGGGGGGGGGGGGCACGTTTATGTTTGGGAGGGTCCCATGTGCTTTTGGGGGGGTCCTATCTACTTGATCTGGGGGTCATATTTACTTGATGGAAGGGTCCTCACTACTTGCTGGATGGTCATATCTACTGGTTGGGAGGGTCATACTTATTGTTGGGAGATTCCGACATAATTGTTGGGAAGTTCCTAGCTACCTGTTGGGAGTGTCCTATCTACTTGTTGGGAGGGCCCTATATACTTGTTTCGGGGGGACTTTTGTCTTCTTTTTTGTTTTTTTTGGGGGGGAGGGGAGTGGGTGGTGTGTGTGTGTGTTGTGTGTGTGTGTGCGTGTGTGTGTGTGTGTGTGTGTGTGTGTGTGTGTGTGTGCGCGTGTGTGTGTGTGTGTGTGTGTGTGTGCGTGGGGGGCTTTTGGAAAGGTCGTATCTACCTGTTGGGGGATCCTACCTACACGTTGGGCAAGTCCTATATACTTTTGGAAGGGTTCGATCTGCTTCTGGGCAAATACGATTGCTTTCTTTTCGGAGGGTCCCACCTACTTGTTTGGCGGGTCCTGGATACTTTTGCGATGGTCATACCTACTGGCTGGGATGGTCCTATCTACAGCTGGGGGGGGGCTTCTCTACGTCTAGGGGCTAGGCCCGGTGCCGAGGGTATATCACATATGGGCATTAAGGCCTTGGGATCCGAACGGCTCTGTGCCCGAAGGCCAAAGGCCAAGCGCCGTTGCCAGCAAATCGCGCATAGGCGCTTGTCGGACAGTCACGGGCGGCGCTTGCTCGGCCGAAATCCTGCCGCAGCGCTGCTGTGAGCGGGCTGTCGTTGGCCAAATGCTTCGCGCGCCGCTGCAGCGGCGGCGCCGACCGATCGGTCGCCCCTGCGCGGGAATTGCAAAATGTGCAGGGGGGGGGGGGTCATCGGGCGCGCGGTGCCAGGGCGACCGTCGGGCCGAAGCATGGCCACCGCCGCATGGGGATGCAATGTAGCGGAGGGGGGGGGGGGGGGGCTGCGCGCGAGCGCCTGCGCCGCCGCAGCTGGGCCGCCGCGGAGCGGCCGTGGCGCGCCCCGTCGGGCGCGGTTGGGCAGCGGGCGTGGCGCCGCTGGGCAGCTCGCGGGCCGCAGCGGCGCGTCGCCGCGCCCTCCAGCGCCGCAGCTCGTCCGCGTTATCGGGCGTGGAGGCAGGGCGCAGGGGGCCCTTAGTTCGCGCATCCTTGCCCCTCATCTGTCCACCGATTGGGGCGCGCGGCGCTCTATCCTCGCGCGGGCGAGGCCATTGGGCATGGGTGGGGTCCGCGGCGCGAAGCGCATGGATGCGGGTCGCCCAATCGAGGTGAAGATGGCATCGGCACGTGACCAGCCCGACGCGAAGCAACGTGGAGCGATTAACTCGCCCGCCAGGAAGCAGCTGGCTCGAGTAACTCCCCCGACGGGAGGCGGGGGGCGGCGATACTTCGCGGGGCGACGGCAGATGCGCAGTCAAGACGACGGCGCAGTCAACCTGCGTAGTCAAGATTTTTAGTGGCGACAGCGACGTAGTCAACCCGCGTAGCCAAGATTTCTAGCGGCGACAGCGACGTAGTCAACTCTCGTAGCCAAGAGATTTAGCGGCGAAAGCGGCGTAGTCAACTCGCGCAGTCAAGACCTCTAGCGGCGACAGCGACGTAGTCAAGCGACGTGGTCAAGCGACGTAGGCAAGGGACGCAGTCAAGAGACGTAGTCAAGATACGTAGGCAGGATACGTAGGCAAGAGGCGTCGGCAAAACCAGAGGTGCACTCACCGCGGGTGGCCGTCGCACGGCGGTTGATCAACTTCACCAGGGCGAAGTAAAGCCGCCCGAATGAACCCAGCCGACGCAGCTACTTGGCGGCACTTAAGCTGCGCCAGGAGCCCCGAGCAGGAGCTCAAGCTTTGCCCTTCACGATGCACTCGGCAGCGCGGCCTCGCCAATGGACTGTTCTGCCCGCGGCCAAGGCGATTGCCCCCGCGGTGGCGCACTGGAAATCTGCGAGCAGCGGCATCATAGTGGGGCGCAGTGTACGTCGTCGGCTGCGGCATTCCACTGCAGCGACATCTCAGGGGCAGCCCCCGCGCGGCCATGCATCGGGGCGCTGCCATCGCGGCAATTGCACGGCAACCCACGTGGCAACGGCTGCCGCGCCACCTTCCTCCAGCGCCCACAGAAACGCATCGCTGCAATTTGGCATGGGCATGAATGGCTGGGCGCGAGGTGGCCAGCGTCGGGCTTCACAGAACCTGAAGAGCTTCTTAGAGAGCGCGTCAGGATATGGATGAGCGGGCCTGGCAGTTGAGAGGGGGGCAGCGCGAGCATGCATGAGCTGATTGGCACGGGCCTGGCTGCGACAGGGTCTGCGTATGACTGCGCATGCGTGACGTGTTTCGACGTTTCTGCCAGTGCTCGTGAAGGAGTTTGGGTGCGAGGTGCAGGGATCGGGCATGCCAGAGTGCGACATGCCGCGGACGGAGTGAGTGCGCCCGCGCGAATGTGACTGTGACTGCGCTTCATGGGGCACGGATGCGCATGCCGCGAGACATTGTGCGCGTGGCACGTCGCGACCGACTTCGAACGCGCGTCGGATTGGGCTACGTAGATCGGTTTTTCGAACGCAGCGCCGAGCGGTCGACCTTGCAAACCTTGAAGCGCGCTTCGCGCGCCGAGCCGTGCGCAGTGCGAACCGTTTAGCGCGCTTCGCGCGCCGAGTGAGATCACGCGTTGGAGCGCGAATGCGCGTCGACTGATCGCGCGCGACGCCGATCTGGCGCAGGGTGGCCCTCCTGGACCTGAGTGCGAGTCAGTGCACGTTGCGTCAGGCTGTGCCTGACGTTAGTTGCGCGGAACGGAACGGGCGCGAGCGCGCGCGTTTCGGGTGGGCGGCGCGGCAACCCATGCACAGGCGAGCGCATTATCATGCAATGTGCCGTTTGGTTGAATTTAACTAAGTTCAACCAGTCGGTGCGTAGTGAATGTTTAAGTTATTGCGATATGTTGCCTGGCCGAGAGTGAGGTCGTGCACGCGGGCGGAAGGCTGAATGTACATCAATTGGCATCTGGGTTTCCATCCGACTACGCGCTGGTCGGTTTGGCGGGGCTCGCAACTAATGGGCCTGGGTGCAACTAGACCGCGGCGCATGCGCAAAAACAATTGCGCGTAGTCGGGCGCGAGGGGGACTGGGTCGGCATGCGCGGCCGCGTGCGTGGTCGGGGTAAGCGGAGCACGCGCGCGGCATGAATCGTGCGCTAAACCGAATCACGCGCGCGGTAACGCGCGAGCGCACATGCAAAAGGTTCAGGAAGGCCCCGACCCTTGTCAGCGTGCGAATAAATTTAGCCGCAGTTATAACTGTTTTATCCATAGGGCGCGTAAGCGTATTGATCTAAGTGGCTCGCGCCATTCCGACGACCCTCAAGAAAACGTGATAGCGTATTGCGATCGTTGAAATTTTGGAATGGCATTCGGTTCGCCCCGCCACCGTGTCTGGTCTCGGCGACAGGAACTTCTTGGATGCGTATTATGAAGGTCCCTTGGGGTGCGTCTCAGGGGCGTCTTGGGAACGCCTGGGAAAAGGGGTTCCTGGTGCCTCCTGGGGTCCTCTTGGCGGCGTGTTGGGAGCCCTTTAGGGGGTTTGTCGGGGCCTTTGTGGGGCGCCTCGAGGGCCCCTGGGGGGGGGGAAGGGGCTATCGGGGCCATCTTGGGGAGACAAGCTCAACGTGCAAATTTGTATGTCACCTACTGGGCTCCACTTGGGGCCTCCCTGGGGTTCCCTGGGTTCCCTCTGGGGCGTTTGGGAAGCCCTTGGGGTCGGGTGGTGACCCTCTCGGGTTTGCCAGGGGTTCTCTTGGGGGCTTAACTGTTTTTTTGTTAAACGATTACGATGGTGATACTGATGCCTGTTGCGCTTCTGATATGGATTCGTCTGTAACTCCAAGGCTTATGCATTGGAACAAGTGGGATGTCTCACAGGAAACGTATAATATGTCAAGATGTGTTTTTTTTTTTCCAGAACGGCCAAATGCCTTTGTGCGCCCTGCATGGGCCGCAGCGTGTCTCTCGCCAGCGTGCAAGAGGCGTTCCTCCGTCGCCTCCCCCTCCCCCTCCTCGCGCCCCCCCCTTCCTCTTCGCGCTCCCCCCGTCATTCCTGTATTAGTCCTTCCCTGCCTCCTCCACCGTCTCCCTCGCCCTGTCATCCCCTCTCCTCCACGTCCGCCTCGCCCCAGTCCACCAGCATCCCTCCTCTTCCTTCTCATCCACCCTCCTCCCTCATCCACCCATCCACCCCCTCCTCCCCATCCACATTCCCCCCCCCCCCCTCCTCCCTCATCCCTCCTCTTCCTCCTCCTCCTCCTCCTCCTCCTCCTCCTCCGCCCCCTCATCACTCCCCGACTGCTGGCAGAGGGTCAGGGGTTGAGGGCGTTTGCCTACTCCTTCCTGAGTGGCGCAAGCTTGTTATGTGTGCGTGTGTTTTGTTTATGTGTGTGCGTGCTTGTGGTTTATGAGGGTTTGGGCTGGGATCACCCACCTCGAGCTTGCATCACTCAGGCCGCGGCCTTAGCCTTAGCCTTCGCTTTGTGGGCCTTCGCACTCCACTTCGCCCTACCAGAATCCATATGCTGCTTTGCCAATGGTTTGTTCACGGATGCATGGGCGCCGTCAGGCGTCGGCTCCACCTCGAACAACCATTTAAATATGTCCTCATCCGTGCCGCACAAGTGCCCTGGCACACAGATTGAACATCCTCTGTGACGGTAGCAGGTTATCGTAACCGAATTGACTGGCCTGCCCCGCTGTACACGCAAAACCTGCCTACCACCTAGATGATAGTAACCTTGAGGGCTCTGATCTGACAAAAGGTGCCAAGGCTCCTGAGGGGGATCTGGCGGGGGAGGGAGTGGTGGGCCATCCGTGGAAGACCCCGCAGCTGGATCCCCTGGGGCCCCTTCGACCTCCTCCAAAAAAGAAAACGCTGCCTCGGCCATTGCTGCACCCTGTTCCTCGTCTAGAAAATCATCGGCAGGCGGGCGACCATCTACGTGGAGAGGGCCTGGGACCACTGGTGGATGTTGCCATTCGGCCATGTAGTCGGGCAGCTTCCCCTCCATGTGGACTGCCTCGAGCTCCTCCACCTCCTCGATCTCAGACTGGCAGTCCGAATCAGCCATGTCGAGAGCACGCTCATCATGAAGGTCAGGCGGGTCCTCGCGTACGAATGGCTCTGGCTCGTCGGCGATGGGCAGGGGTTCTTCGGGTACTCCAGGCGGCAGGGGGCCCTCAGGCAAAGCACCTGCGACTGCACGTCCACGTCCGCGCCCACGTGCTCGGCCTCCACGTCCTCTGTCGCCACGTTCTCAGCCCCCGCGCTGCCGTGCAAGATCTCGGTCTGCCATCGCCTGGGCCTCCTCGCCGAAGGGGTCGCCCTCGCGCATCTTCGGATCGCCTCCACCTCGACGATAAAATGCCAAAGGTTTCTTCATGCTTGGATCCCAGAGGCGGCCGATGAGCTTCAAACCTATGATTTTTGATCTCCTCAGCGTCCCTGTGTCGTGGCAGATCTCGTAATCGGCGATGTACATGTCCATATGCTGCAGCTTGTCGATGAGTAAGTTTATCCATTCGTCCGACGTGTTGGTGTCGATAGCTCGATGCCTGACGCTGACCCTGCTCTGCCGCTCCGCGATATTCACCCAAGACGGTAGCGCCAACTCCTTGAGCACAGAGTGGCCGCCGCCCCGCGCTGACCATACCCGCGAGAAAAACTCCCCCAGTCCAGGACCGCCAGACCCCCGATTTAACGAAACGTCGGGCCAGAAAAAATAACTGTTTACAGGGGAACGGGCGCCGCGGGCGGCGAAAAATCGGGGCCCGAAACATATATTTTTACCGGGCAACGGGCGGCGCGGGCGGCGGCCATTCCGAGCCCGACGCGTCTCCTCCGACACTACGTCGGCATGCTTCTCGAACTCGTTCAACGTCACGTCGAAAACGTGCGGGTTGAAGGTGACGTCGGTGGCCAAGCTCGCAAACCTCATGTGGCCATCACCGTGGACAGCTCGGCCTGCAATGATCAACATTACGTCCGAGGCGTCATCCTCGCCCTTGCCAGCATTGATAGACAGCAAGAAATTGTAGATGCCCTTTTCCACGACATCCCAGGCTGCTGGAACCCTCGACCCAGGTCTGTCGGCATTCCTCGCCGAACGTGACATACCCCAAGGGTCGATCTCGTCTGTGTCCGTGAACTTGGTCTTGAAATCTGGGGTGGCCCTCCTCTCGACGAGGTCAACGTCGAACACGGCGCTGTCCTTCGGCCACCCGTGCTGAACGATGTACTGGCAGAGCTCGTCTGGCGTAAAGGGGCTCGCTCTGCTGCCGCCTCCACACCACAGTTCGTAAGGTTGTTGTACTTGCTCATGTTGATGCTGACCTCCACTATGCCGCCAATCAGTGTAGGCTTCGGCGTAGACATCTTGATCTGCATCTGCATAGAGCTCCCGGAACTCCTCGCCGTGAGCTAAGCATTCGCTCCAGGTCATCCGTGATCCTTTCGACTTCCTAGCATCTTCGAGGTGCCGGTTCTTCGCCAACATGTATCGGCTAAGCCCGCGTTTGGTGCCATCGCCATCGGCCTCTTCACCGGCCGCGCGGTCTCCTGGTAGCAGGTTCGGGTTCGGGATGCGCGCGACGATGGGCTCCTCGAAGTTCCTGTGCTCCGCTGCGGGTGCTGCTGGGACGATGGCTTGCTCGTCTGCGTTCGCAGGCGCATCCTCGATCGCCATCGGAGCAGGCGCATCGCCGAGGGCAGGTAGAACTGGCACCGAACCGAATGCAGCGCCGTCCCATAAAGGAATGTAAGTGACCGCCTCCACTGACGACGAATTGCCCAACTTACGTACTGCAAGGGGGTCGTCGCCGCCTTGCTTCTGGTGGATGGCCTTGACCTGGTCCAAGAAATGTTCACGCTCTGCGTTGACCGCGTTCCTGCCTGGAGCGCGCACTGGGTGGCGAGCTGTGTATAGCGCGTTCAGCCTCTCGATCATGTCGGTCCCGTAGCAATGCGCCCTGAAGTCGGCAGCAAGAACCGTTCGGCAGTGCGTTGATAACAATGCAGCGTCCGACGGGAAGAGGTTGCGGATCCCCCTGGTGTAGCAGTCGATCATGTAGTCAGGTGCGTCGAGTGCCTCACGAGCTACCCTCTTCTTGTCTGCTTCCGTGGAGCGGCCGTGTGATAAAGGGTAGAGCCTATAAGGCCAGGCGCTGAACCGACTCTCGTACCTGCGATGCATGACCGTGGTCAGCTTTACAATCTGCCCCCTGGCCCATCTTGAAAAGACCTGGTCGGTCAAGGGCGCGCCAAGAATATCAAGTAGCATCCACGGGCGCCGCGCACGATCTCCAGTGTTCCAAGAATCTAAAAGGCCCAGCATGTCCTGGCTGAAGCGCCCGATGACGGAGTCCTCGCCGAGGAGCGTATCCAATTTGCTCTTCTCCTCGGCCTTATCCTTGATCGCATCGCCGAGAAGTGGATACAATAAGTTGCCATCGCTGGCCTCGAGAACGGCCGTGAATACAACTAACTTGTACATGTTGCGGTCGTCGGCGTAGTAGTCCCTTACCTTTTTGGTCCGCACCCGAATGATGTGCTTGAAGAACGCGTCGGTACCCTCCTGATCCACGCCGAACTGCTGCCCGCCCAGTCCGTCGAGCTCGCCCTCTTTGATGGTATCAACGAAGCAGTCCAGCCCAACTCTGTGTAGGATTCTGCGTACCAACGTGCGCTTGAAGCTGGGAAGTAAATGAATCCAACGGCTTTCGGCTGGCCGCGGATCCGCGCTCCCGCAAAGAGCGTGGACTGCTGCAACCGTCGTCTTCTCCACGGAGTCCTGCAGCGATCTGCAGCACGGGCGCTGCAGGGAGGCGTCCCAACACCAGTGCGTCCACTTCTCTGCCGTAAGGCTGCCGTTGGCCATGGCGGTCAAACCTTTCAGGTCCTTCAGAAGCTGCGACTCGCCGTCGCCCTTGCCGCCCTTGCCTGGTCGTCTGAGGTGACCAGCGCTGAAGTCGTAGAGGAAGTCCGCCACTCGTTCCAGCGTGTCGGGGAATGGAGGGGCTGGGCCAACCTCTCGATGAAGTTGAGACTGAACGATATTCTCGATGCCGTGGATGCACCGCGAGAGGTTGCCTCTGTATCTAGACATCGACGCTATCGAATAGTGTCTCATGGTGTGTGGGCGCAGTCCTTTGAGAGCCAGCTTGCCGCGGTGGTGTGAATGTATACCGCGCGCATCTGGAAAATACAGCAACTTCTTGCCAAGCTCGGGCAACGCTTCCTTAAACTGCTGCTCGGCGCCCGCCCACATCTTCACGATGCTCACGTTGCTGCTGGCCTTGTCGCACATTGGCATGAACGTCAGGCTCGATACTGCGCCGAGCGTCTCGGTCAGCTTCGCTACCTTTTGGAAATCCCACTGCTCTGGCATGCCCTTCAGAATGCCAGGAAGTAAATGCATCGCCTTCGTGCCGCCGGCCTCCGTGGGCTGAGATACCCAATACGTTTGAAACTGCCTCCCCTCCTTGCGGCTGAGGTTGACGAGGCTCAGGTTGACGGTGGTGCGCTGCACCAATGTTGGCTGCGCAACGTTCTTCCTCAGTACGCGGTACTTCTTCGACGGGCGCCACGCCTGCTTCACCTCCACCTCGCCCCACATGTGTCCTCCAGACGCATGAACTATGTTGTCGCCGGAGAGCTCGATGGCCACCGCGCTCTTCTCGAAGCAATGCTTGAGAGCCTTCTCCTGCCGCAGCCGAGCAACTGCACAAGCAACTGTCTGGATGCGCTTGTGCTTCACTCCGATGTTGATGTTGCGTTTGAGCTTGAGGAAGACGGCCCGCGTGGCCAGCTGGAAGTCGCCCGCCTGTCGATGACCAAACTCGCCTGCACCCATCGACCCCCCCCCGCGTTTCCCCCTAAAGTCCGATGGGGGAGGGGTGCATGGGGGCAAGGGGCGATGGGTGCCAGGTGAGTTCGGTCATATCCGAGACGCCTCGACCTTGCGCTTCCTCCCCAGCGCCGTCCCAGGTCTCCCAGTGATCAGCTCCGAGCCTGGCACCATGGTGGAAACGTTCCTGATGATGGCCTCGTGGGAAGCCTTCTCCGCCTTCACGAGGTGGGCAAGGCTTCCTCGCGCCTGCATCTGCTCATCCGCCACCCCCCACCTCGCCAACCCAGCTTGCTGGGTTGGCGAAGCGACGGTGCGGATGAACCGTCGCAGGTGCGCTGAAGCCCACCACCCCAACCTTCAACTTCTGCTTGAGCTCCTTCACCGCTTTCTTCAACTTGACCTCCCTCGCGTGGCCGACGCCCTCGGCCGACCTCGATGGCTTCCGTCTCGGTGCTGCTTCTGCTGCTGGTGGCGCCTCCTCCACCTCCAACTCCTCGAACTGGTCCAACGCGAAAGGGAGCTGCGCCTGCTGAGCTGCTGCTGCTGCTGCTGGAGCTGGCGCCTCCTCCACCTCCAACTCCTCGAACTGATCCATGTCCATGTTGCTGTTGTCGCCAGTTGTGCCGAACTCGCAGCCAGTACTCGTGCCAGTAGTGTCGATGCCGCTGCCAGTAGTGCCGATCTCGCTGCCAGTAGTGAAGATGTCGCTGCCAGTAGCGCCGATGCCAGTTGTGTCAGAGTCGCTGCCACCAGTAGTGCCGATCTCGCTGCCGAAAGTGTTGTTGCAGCAATCAGGCTTGTCGACGAATATGGAGGCGAGTGCCTTGGAGATGCCGTCTATGTCGAACGAGTCGACGAATATGGAGGCGTCGGCCTTGGAGATGCCGTCGCGGTCGAACCAGTCGACGAATATGGAGGCGTCGGCCTTGGAGATGCCGTCGCGGTTGAACGAGTCAAGCCTTATGGAGGTGCCGAACTCGGAGAACCCAAGAACAGCAAATATATGGATAACAACTGATTGACTAATCAACATCGCGGAGGACTCTCAGCGGAACCACTCGTCGCTGGTTTGAGCCAAAACGGTTTCGGAAGGACCCCATCGAAAATTACAATGGGTGGGGTTTCGGAAGGCCCCCATCGAAAATGACACTGGGTGGGGTGAGGGCCCTGCTAACCAAGACCCCCTCCATAAGGCTCACATCGATAATGTATTCATCATGCCTCCCCCTGTACATGTGGGGAATGGCCAATGACCCCCTCGAAAAAGACTGCAATATTTAGCATGTCTCTGCACCTACAGTGTCCTCCCTCATGTTTTCCCTCTGTCCCTCTTTACTCCACCCCCTCCTCCTCCCTCTCCCTCCTCTCGCCTGGAATGGTGCCCATCCCTCCTACTACCCCAATATCTATGTACATCCCCCCTTCTCCCTCATTCCCCCTCCGTAAACCCTTTACTCGTGGACGAGGAGGAGGAGTATGAGGAGGAAGAAGAAGGATGGGGAGGAGGTTGAAGAAGATTTTCATCGAATGATGAAGTTGATCAGGAAATGTCCTCACCAAGATCTAAGTGCAACACCAAGTGTCGCCCCCTTTGGGTCCGAAAACCAACATGAAAACCTAACTGTCTTCACCCCGTGTGGGGCTCCCCCAACAGAGCCCGATCTCTGACCAACAGACAGACTCAACTCATGGGGGCAGGTCTGTCAGAAACTGGGCGAGGGCTGGCAAATCCGTGGCTGCTAAAACGGCCTTCCCATAAGGAAAAAACGCAACCCCAGAATACAACTCAGCGCACTAAACAATAAGCGGGCTGCTTCCCGGAAGAACAAAACATTTTCCCGGAGCTCCGTGTTAGCAGCCACGGGTTTGCCAGCCTTCGCCCGGCTTCTGAGTTTGAGCGCCCCTTGGGACCTCGAGGCGTCTCGAAACTGCTCTGGGGCCCTGTTGGGGCCGACACACAGGGAGCCTTTCGGGAGCCGCGCGCAACGTCTATAATGGGCGCCTCTTGGGGCCTCCTCGGGCCAGCGGGGGCCTGGCCGCATTTCTCGGGGATCTTCTGACCCGGGTCAATCCAGATCCGGGTCAGTCAGGCCTTGCAATCCTGCGAGATCCTGCACCCAAGCCCGGGTCAATGCGAAGGATCCTGCAAGATCCTGCAGGATCCTGCGCCCAAACCCGGGTCAATGCGACCCTGGCCTTGCAGGATCCTGCAAGATCGGGCGCTCTGGCTGAACCCTGTTTGCACTGACCCCGCCTCAAGGCTCCCGAATCTCTTCGTGAGCAGGCCCCCGGCACAGGGCAACACTGAGCATGCATGACCCCCCCCCAGTGTTTCAGTGCTCTGGGCCCGAGAGGGGCTGGGACCCTCTATTGAGGTACCCGGGCAGCATTGGTGGCCTCATGGGGTCTCAGGGTGCCTCTCTTAGGGCCGGCTGGGCAAATTTAGTGTCACTGATCCTTGTGCATTCTTACTCGCGCTGCATATGGTAGTCTAGAAGAGATAACGTTGGGCTCCAACTTCGCCATCCACATTTCGCTGAGTAGCGCCAGAGCACGCTGCCACTGTTCGCCCTTCTCGCACGCGCTGACCCCAGCGCTGTAGCTGACTAAGGCTGACCCGCGGCCTTCCGGCCGCGGAATCTGCCCGCCATGGCGTGGACGTGGAAGAGGAGCGTCTTTGGGGCCTCGCGGGTAAGGGGTGGTTGGAGGGGATGGCGTGGATGGAGGAGGTGGCCGGTGGAGGTGGAGGTGGGCGAAAGATGCAGGCAAGCAGGCCTGAAGGCAGGAACGCGGTGGTGGAGGTGGTATCAGTGGAAGCACACCCATGTAGGTATGCCATGGTGTGGACAGAAGCTATTTCTCACGCCGCAATATGTGTTCATCATAGCTTCTGCGGGGAGGGTAGCCGTGAGAAGTTGATCTGCTCTTCGCTGGGGCCGAATGATAATTTTAGCTGGCAGTGTGGTGACAATGGGGCCAGTGGGAGCGGCCTGCAAGAGGGCGGCGAGACGGCCCAAGAGGGTTCCTGGACGGGCCAAGAGGCTTCCCAGACGGCCCACGAGCTCCCTAAGACGGGCCCAATGCGAGGACACGAATCGACCTTTCGAGCGCACCGCCCCAAGTCGTCCCCGAATGGCGCAGATATGGCTCCCAGAGGGTCCAAGAAGCTCCCAAAACGACGCTGTAAGTTCGACGCTCCCCGAGAAGCATGCAAGGCCTTCTTGGGAGCCGTTTGGGGCCTCTTTTCGTCCTCCTGGGAGTCTCTCGGGGCCCTATGGGCAGTCTTGAATGCCTCTTGGACCGTCTTGGGGCGATGTGGGTCCGTCTTGGGCGCCTCTCGGACCATCTTGGGGCCGTCTTGGGGAACTCTTGGGCCGATATTAAGCGCTCTTGGGGCTGTCTTGGGTGTTTCTTGGGCCGTCTCGGCCGCCTCTGGAGCCGTCCCGGACGGCCCAGAAACCGTCTTGGAGACTGTGCAGACGGAAAAGCTTGGAGACGGGGCGGCGGGGGCCTCTACCGTCTTGGAGACGGGGCGGTGGGGCTGTCTCGGGCCATGCTTAACTGCTCTTGGGGCTGTCTTGGGTGCGTCTTGGGCCGTCTCGGGCGCCTCTTGAGCCGTCCTGGGGCCGTGTGGGGCCGTTTGGGGGCCCTCCTGGGGGCCTCTGGCTGTGTGTTGGGGCGAGCTGGGGGGCCTGTGTGGCCGTCTTGGACATTGCGAGGACGAAACGAAACACAAACATAGTAGTGAAAATGTGCGTTTCCCTCCGGGAATGGGACGATTTTGGCCTCTTGGAGGCCCTCCTGGGCCGTCTTGGGAGCCTCCTGTCCTGCCTTGGGGGCCTCTGGGGCTGTCCTGGGGTTCCCAAGGGTGCTCTGAGGCCGGATTGGCGCCCCCTGGAGCCTCTCGTAACCGTCCCGTGGGCCATCTCGGGCGCCTCTGGAGCCGTCCCGGGGCCGTGTGGGGACGTTTGGGGGCCCTCTTGGGGGCCTCTGGGCGCGTCTTGGGGCGAGCTGGGGGGCCTGTGTGGCCGTCCTGGACACTGTGAAGACGAAAAACGGAACATCGTGAAAATGCACGTTTCCTGTAGGGAATGGGCGGATTGTGGCCTCCTGGGGCCCTCCTGGGAAGCCTCTTCGGCGTCTCTTGGGCCGTCGTAGAGTCGTCTTGGGCCGTCTTGGCGCCGCAAAAGGCAGTCTTGGCTTGTCGTGGAGCGCTCTTGGAGCGTCTTGGGGATACCTTGGGCGTCCTGGGAGCCTCTTGGTGTCGCCCTGGGGCCGTTTTGGGCGCCTCCTGGGCTCTCTTGACGCCCTCTCGGGCCGGTTTTCGTGCGTCTTGGGGGCCTCTTGGGCTGTCTTGGGACGGTCGTGGGGGCCTGGAACCAGCTTCTGCGCCATATTCCCGACAAGCGGCGCATTCTAAAAGTGAGCGTTTTCTGGGGAAAACAATGATTTTCGCTTCTGGGGGCCATCCTTGGACGCCTCTTGGGCGTCTCTGGGGCCGTCGTGGAGGCCTCCTGGGCCGTCTTGGGTTTGTTTTCGGCGGTCTTGGGCTCTCTTGGAGCGCTCTTGGGCCGTCTTGGGTGTGTGTGGGGCCGTCCTGGGCGCCTCCTGGGAGCCTCTTGGGGCCGCCTGGGGGCCGTGTTGGGCGCCTCCTGGGTCTCTTGACGCTCTCTCGGGCTGGTTGTCGTGCCTCTGGGGGGCCTCTTGGACCGTCTTGGGGCGGTCTTGGGGACATCTTGTCCCATCTTGTGCGCCATATTCCCGACAAGCAGTGTGTGCTAAAATTGGACGCTTTTCGTTAGAAAAACAATGATTTGGGCCTGTGGGGGCCATCCTGGGACGCCTCTCGGGCGTCTCTGGGGCTGTCGTGGAGGCCTCCTGGGCCTTGTCGGGCCCGTTGTCGGCGGTCTTGAGCTCTCTTGGAGCGCTCTTGGGCCGTTTTGGGGGTATATGGGGCCGTCCTGGGCGCCCCTTGGGCCGCGTGAGCGCCTCTGGGGCGTCCC